TCCGTTGCCTCACGCCAATGGCAGGCGTGTAACACTCTGGAAGCGTCGCCAGTGCACCCCCAAAGGGCTCTTCCGTCAGGTCCCCAAGGCTTGGAGCTCCGCTACCAAGGACTGCTGCAGACACAGGAGGCACCCTGGAATGGCCGGCTTGGGAGAGATCCTCCAAGGATGCGGTTCCTCGATGGAAGAGTTCCGCCAGGGAAATTATAGACGCCGACGGCTTCCCCGTGGACTCCTGCAAGGCCCGTTCGCTTCTGGTTGTCATGATGCTCATGCTCCGCGAACCGCGAGTGTTTCTGTGGCTTTTCTCATGCAGAGCAGGCCGGGGACGTCATCGAAGCCATTCTGGGGTTCTGCGTCCCCTGGCAAGAGGTCCACCAGGATTTAGTTCGCTCGTACCTGGAGCCTCACACTGGACGACCTGGCGGACCTGCACGGCCGCATCGAGGCGGTTCTACCCCACATCTCCAAGCTCGTGGCATTGGCGCATCACCACCCGGCTGCGCAGGAAGCCGGCTGCCCGCAGACCTGGAGCGAGATGAACAGGCAAGACTTCCAGCTCGAAGCACCGATGCTCGTCCTCGAGCGGATCGTCCCGGCAGCAACGCTGACCTCCCTGGATACACGCGGCTGCTCAGTGTGTGCGCTACACGTCGGGCTGGCGGGGACCGACGCCTCCCTCGGTCCTGACGACCGGGTTGCGGGTCTTTCCTACATCGGCGGCGGACTTGCCTTGTCCCAGACCGACCTCGATGCTCCTCCACCACCGGCCCCGGCCCCAGGCACCAGACTGGACCCTCCATTCATCCCCGACGAGAGGCTCGTGCTCGAAAAGAAGAATAACAGATACACGTGCGACAGTTGCGGAAAGGACCAGCTGTCTGCCGCCGAGGGTACCTGGATCTCCGACAGCACGCGCCAGATGGTCGCTCAGAATAGGCCTCAGGCCTACATCAACGGTGCCAACATGGGGTGGCACTGCGACGTCTGCTGGATACGTCACCTGGAGGACAATGGCCTCCCCACGCCTGCAGGAGCGAAGCTCGCCGACAGAATAAGGGAGCATGGTCAGCAGAGGGCGGGGGCCAGCAACGACAGAGCGAGCGCCCTCCCCTCCCTGGGGCACCTTCCACTTGGCTACGGCTGCAGCCCCCTGGCAGACACGAGGACGTTAGCGGACCTCTTCATGGTGCCGACGGGCATGAAGATCTCCGAGCGAGCCAATGCCGCCATTCCTATCCTCCGGATCCGGGGCGAGCGCTTCGGCATCAAAGCCGCGCAGACGCAGACCTACTCTGCGCGGTGCGACACCTGCCCCCAAGGGGCCCGGCCCCTCGTCTGGGACCCCGGCTCTCCGCCTCTGGGTTGCTTCATTTGGAAGCCGGCGGAAGGTATAGGCGTTCCCGAGCAAGATGGGCTGCCCCCCATCGGCAGGCGTGCCCTGGCCTGGTGGGGGCGCCAATGGAACGCTACATGGTGCTGCCGTCGCTGCCTGGTTCCGATTTGGAACATAGGCCCGGCCACCCTAGATCGCATCCTGGATCGCGACTTCAGATCGCTGTATCCAGAAAAACCTCCCGCCCTTCCCCCGCTCAGCAGACAGATAGGGTTCGAGGCGCCTGTGGACATTGTGGATTCTCTTCCTTGGCTAGGCGTGGACGCCAAGGCCCAGGACCAATTCACCAAGGTCGGAGCAAGCAATCCCCCTGGACCCAGCGCCACAGGCAGCTCTGGTGCAGCGTCAGAGCCAACCCCCAGGACTCTCGCCCAGCTTTTGGAGCTCCTGCCAGATCTGCCACCACCGCAGGGCCCGCTCCTGAGCGACAGAGACGTCAACAATCCCACCCTAAGCGCTGAGGACCCCAGCAGGCCTGGCCCCGGAGGACTGTCCGCACGGCGATCGCTGGTATCCTTCCTCCGCGATTTCCATCCTGGACTGGAATACACCTGGAGGCAGTTTTGTATCGCCAACCGCGACAGAGGCGCCCCGGAGCCCAGCTTCGACGAGGCCTCCCTGCCTGACGATTTCCTGCCTGAGTTCCTTAGGACCATCTACGGTGACTACAGCCCAGACGACTGTCTCCCTCCGAACCAGCGCTGGGAAGGTAAGCGCGTGGCCGCGGCGCGAGTCATAGCGCACCTGGCCGACGGCGAGATACAGAAGAAGCCCTGGAAGGTTTATGCGGAAACGCTGGCCCCGGCAAATGGCCTCGATCCCATCCGACATGAGACCGGCACGCTGACGGGCTTCCTGCTCAGCCTCGGTGACGATGCCCTCGCCTCGGCGTCCATCACCTCCTTGGCAGAGTCTCCACCGACAGGCGGGTTGGCCGTGAGCGACGACAGGCCAGACACTCCCATGGCTGCCGACACAGACAGGCCCCAGGGCACGGTGGACAACGACTCGCGTATGGGCCACCATGTCCCGCCCGACTACGACAACGGCGAAAGCGCGGAGGACGGGATCCCCCTTGCCAAGATGGAGCCCGACTTCGGAGAAGACGAACCCGCTCGTCCTCCCACGTGCTCGGAGTCGGACCAGGACGATGATGATAATCGCTCAGGCGACGAGGCGCCACAGCGAAGCCCATCGGTTGACAGCTCTGACTCCAGCCGCGAGGATACCGCGACCTCAGCTGGAGAGGAAGCGCCCTACGCCGACCGCAGAAGCGATCCAGCCCGAGACCCCGCGAGGGACGAGAGAGCCAGCGACAGAGGTGGCTCGCGGTACGAGCGCTCTCCCGCGCCCACCCCGCAGCTCCCTGGACAGAGGCTTTATCACCCTCGCCATATTGGTACATTGGAGCAGGACGCACTCAACCTGTTGACCTGCCCTGAGGGAGGCTGCCCCATGTACAAAGTCTGGCTGGGCACAGTCGAACTCGAACGTCCCGACGAGACACCAGCCAGACGCATATCCAGGCTTCAGTCGGAGCTGGGCGCAGTCTTCTGCGCGCTGTGGACAGCAAACATGCAGCGTACCCTGCTCCCTGGATGGAGGGCGCCCAAATCCGACCCGAAACTACACGCGCCCACGGACATCAACAATTTCCTAGAGGCCTGGAAGAACTGTGGGTATGACGCCTACGAGATGAACACGAGGCTGGGCTATGGTGTCGACTGGGATAGGCTACGAGCCAACTACCTGCGTCACTCCCATACAGACGACAGGGGCAAAGGCGGCTGTCGCCGCACGGGCTGGCGTGACCGTGCGGCAAGTTCCTGGGGCACCTGGGGCAGTTGGCAGGGCGAGTGGCGCGATGGATGGCGTGAAGATCGCTGGCAGACGGGTGGCAAACGCGGCGGAGGTTGCTCTGATGATCGGGGGGATAGAGATGAAAAGAGGCTCCGTTGGAGAGACTGAGCTCCTCTCCGCTCTCTCCCCGCCCCAAGTGCCTTGCGCCGCCGCCTACACTTTGCTACGCGCTACCGCGGCCCTCCGCCGCTCTCTCCTTCAGCCGTGGGGCAGCACCACCGCCCCTCCCCTGGACGGCGCTCTTCCTTCCTTTGGGCCCTGGTGTGCCGTTCAGTAATACCATCTGCACTCTGCGTGACACCGCGCATCCTGCAGACCAACTTGCCACTGGCATCGCTGCCTTTCTCCTCCGGTGGCCGCCGCGCTCTCGCCGCAAGGCTCCCTCGTTCCTCGCCGTCGGTTTCACTTCCTGAATTCTCTCTGGCGCTGCCCGAGGCCGCGCCGTGGGCCCCTTTAATTGCGGCGCTCTGCCGCCCTCCACCCGATGCGCGCACCTCCTGCCTTTGGATTCAGGTGCGCGCTTCGGCAATGCCGTCCACAGCCCCTCCGCTGTTGGACTCGCGGCCTTTGGCCTTACTGTAGATCTCTCACCGCCAGGCGTTCCTGGCCCGTGTCAGTGGGCCGCGGCTCGCCTGTCCTCTGACTCACTCCCTGGATATTTTAACCGACTGAACGGCCTTCCGCCGTGACCCTGGATCGTATCGGTTTCGAGGGGCGCGTCTTTGGTATAAGACGGTCCCGTTCTTGGTTGCTATCTGACTCATTTTGGGTAGCTCTGAGACTCGGTTGTGCACTCGTCACGTGGTCTTTCGTTCATCGTGCACACCACGGCCCTTCCTCTTGCTGGTTGGGCTGCCGCATCTCTGTGTGGAGGGTTCACTGCCCACATGTCCCACCTTCTGGATGCGCATTCTGACGCCGCGTCCTGTTTCGCCGTCAGACTCTTCCGCTGGGCTTGGTCTCCAGTCCGTCTGCGTTACTTTCCAGACATTGGATCGACGTCCTCGGGATCGTTCCTACCTGTTCGTGCTTGAACTGCTGGGAACGCTTCGCGCCATTTTGGCTGCGCTCGGTTTCCTCGGTGTCTGTCTCAGACTCCCTGGATGTACCTTTGCACGTCCTTTCGGGGGCTGTTCTGCAGTCTCCCTGGATTGCATGCTGGGCTTCTTCGGTGTTCGTCTGACTCCCTGGATGCCTTTTGCTCGCCCGTTCTGGGGTTGCTCCGCAGGCTCCCTGGACTGCACGTAGGCTCTGACGCCCTAGGACGCTGCTGCTTGCCGCTTGACCGCGGCCTCGCGCGCGCCCGCCGCTAGTCGCGGCCGCAGCCCGCCCGCGACCTCCCGCCGCTGGCGCTTCCGCCTGCGGCTGTAAAAAAAATCCCCACCACCGCCCTCTGGACTTTTCCTTGCGGGCCGCGAATCAAAAAAGTATCCCCGCCAGCCTCGCCTCCACGTGGTGCTGTCGGCGGGAAGGAACACACCTCCTCGTTGGATTTCGTCTGGTGGCTGTGTTCTGTGGTGCTTTACCTACTGGTGACGGGCAGCCGTCCATGTGCCTCTGTTGCTCCGTGAGTCAGGGTTCCTGGTCACCGCATCTGCATCCGGCGTTGGCTTTTGGCCCGCTGGTAATTATCTCGCTTCCTTCTTGCACCCCAGCGTTGGCTTTTGGCCCTCTGGTATTCATCTCGCTTGGCCCCCCCTAGCTCGCTACGCCTTCGCTGGCACTGGTGCTCTTCGGCGTGGCCATGGCCCGCTGGCATTTTGTTCCGGCCCGCTCTCTGGGTTCGTCGTCGGGGCTGCCGTCTGTGTGTTTTTTGCCCCCTGCGCTCTTTGGCGCTTGTGCCCCTGCGTCGGTTCTCTCGCCTGTGCATCCTGCGGCGGCCTGGCCCGCTGGTAATTATCTCGCTTCGCCCTTGCATCCCAGCGTTGGCTTTTGGCCCGGTGGTAATTATCTCGCAAGGCCACCCAAGCTTGCTACGCCTTCTTTGGCACTGGTGCGCTCTGGCGGTGGCTTTGGCCCGCTGGCAATTATCTGGCGTGCTGCCCCATGCTTGATTCGACCCGCTCTCTGGAATCGTCTTTGGAGCCGCAGAACAACAAAAGCATATCCCCACCAGCCCATCCAGAAACGATGCCCAGGGGAGTTGAGGTGATCAGGGAAGTCGGGGAGCATGCAGAATAACAAAGGCGGGGGAAGCTGTCACGTACCCCAAGAGGGGGAGGATGGAGAAGGAATCCTCGTCGGAGGGGGAGGGGGGGAAGAGGAGGAGGAGGAGGAGGAGGAGGATAATGAGGAGGATGTGGAGTAGGGAGAGGACGAGGAGGACGAGAAGGAGGAGAAGGAGCAGAGGGAGGAGAAGGAGGAAAAGGAGGAAAAGGAGGAGGAGGAAGAGGGGGATGAGAAATTGAAGAGGACGGCGAACCGAAGAGCCAGAAACGTCTTAAATGCATTTCGGAGATCCTCTTGAGGCTTCTTGGGGGTCTCTTGGGAGCCTCTTGGAGGCCTCTTGGGCGCCTCTTGGGGCCGCCTGGGCGCCTCTTGGGGCGCTCCTGGGGCGCTCTTGGGGGCTGTAGGGGCGCTCTTGGGGCCATCTTGGAGGAGATCGATCAACGAAGGGGGGTTCCCTAATTAGCCTCCCCCCTCAGGAGCTCCAAGCATCGCCTCTTGGGGCGCTGTTGGGGCGCTTTTGGAGCGCTCTTGGGCGCTCTTGGGGCTCTCTTGGGCCTCTTGTGGGGCCCTCTTGGGCCATCTTGGAGCCATCTTGAGGCCTTGGATGGCCATCGGAAGCGAAACGGGGAGAAAACAACACACATCGATTTTCTTATGGTTTTGGGATGATTTTGGCCTCTTCGGGGCCTCCTTGGGGAGCTCTTTTGCCACTTGGAGCCGTCTTGGGGCCGTCTTCGGGCCTCTTGGAACATCTTGGGAGCCATCTTAAGCGATCGGGCGCTATCTTGAGCCATCTGGGAGCTCATCTTGGGCTCTCTGACGCGCTCTTGAAGTCATCTTGGGGCCGAAAGAGCCGTCCGACCGCTCGCGAAACCCTCCGTCGAGGTCCAGGGTAGGGGGTAGGGGGAGGGGTAAACCCTTCCCCAAGGGGGAAGAGGGAGGGGTGGAAGAGGATCTGTTCTAGACCACCTACGCCCAGAGGGCTGGTGGGATTCCATAGGATCCGTAGGGCATCCCATAGGATTCCTAAGGGATTCTTTCGGATTCCTGCGGGATCCCATAGGATTTCCCAATAATGCGATAGGACCATGACTACTTCTACTATTACTAGCATCGCTACTCATTGCTACTACCAGTCCTTGTTATGGGTGTATTCAGTACGTGAAGCAGGCACTGTAGGGAGCGTCGCCGTATGGCCACTGCCACTTGTGCTCGAGCTCTGACTCAGGGCCCCCCCATTCCTTTCCATGCAAGCCGCCCTCCGCCAGATTGTCGGTGGATTCGCTGAGGGGGTCTCGACGGGCTTGGTCGTGTGGGCTGGACGGCCCACCTGCCCGCAGTGCGAGTGCTCTCCGGTGCTGAACTGCCCACCTCTGACCTGCTCGACAGGCGACGTGGCCTACACCTCGCCGCTGACCCCCTTCACGCTGGCCTTCACGTGTACCTGCGTGGCGGTGGTGGCTTTCGCTGCTGGTCGCTTGACGGGCGTGAGGGTTAGGACCGAGCTGAATCCCGAGGGCCTGGGCGCGACCGCCCGAGCTCAGGTGGCACAGTACCGGTCGAAGGCGTTGGCACAATGATGCTGCCTGGCGCCGCTGGTGGCCACCCGCTCACTGTCTCGCACGACCTGCAGGTGGGCGATTTCTGTGTGGTGAGGTACAACGTCGGAGGCCCACATCTGTACCACGAGCGGCTAGTCACCTACCTGCCGCTTGGAGCTGGGTTGACCGTGTCTGTCACCACCCCTGATGGTGACGAATATGAAGAGGTGTGGAGCATGCCAGACATCGTCGAGTGGGAGCCGCTGCCGCATCGGCAACAGGGAGGCGTCCTGCTGGGTCGGCCCGGTGCTCGATACTACCGCTTCCGGGTTGGCGCGATGCCGACCGCCGCGAGCCTCACGGCGTCGACCACGGCCGCGGCCGCCCGCCTTGGCCAGCCCGCGCCTGTGGGGCCCGTTGCGCCGGCCCTCGGTGGGCGCATCGCCGAGCTGCCAGCGGGAGGTGCCGTGCCAGGCGCGCCCGTGGCCGGAGGCGCTGTCGCCCCGCCCGATGCTGTGCCCGGCCAGCCGGCGGCAGCCGCCGGCGCCGCTCTCGGAGGCGTGGCCCCAGCGGCCGGGCTCGGCGGCCTCGTGGCAGCACTCGGCGGACCAGCAGCGGGAGCGCCTGCAGGAGTTCTTGTCCCAGCCCCACTTCCGCCTGCTGCTCCAGCCGCAGTCGGTGCCGCGGCGGCCGCGGCCCCAGGGGCCGGCGCGGCGCCTGCCGGTGCTGCCGTCGGCGCGCCTTTGCTTGCCGCGGCAGGCGCGGCCGCAGCCGCTGCACCCCTTCCCGCGGCCTTTGGAGGCGTCCCCGCCGCTGCGGTGCCCGCAGGCGGCCACGTCCAGGACGCGCGGACGCTCCCGGTGGTCTACGACATGGTGGGCAACCGGCGGCGGGAGTTCCGCGACGCGGTGCTGGCGTGCCGGGAGGACCAGTGGGAGGGGTGGCCCGTGCGCGGCCCCCGCACCACGCACTGGGTCCTCCGGTACATCGTCGACCACGGCGGGACCCCAACTGGGGTGCGCTCTCGGTGGCGCAGCGAAGCTCGTCTCCAAGAGCACGAGCCTGGAGTGCAGGAGCATGAACGCGCTTGCCGGGCGCTGGAGGAGCTGCTCTGCTTCGACCAGTGCAACGGGGCCAACCTGGCGGCCGCGGAGCTGCTGACGCGCACCATCCAGGTGCAGCAGGAGCGCTACCAGGACAGGAGCGCCGGCGGCTCTGCCAGTGGCGGCCCCGACAGCGTCGACGCGCATCTCTTCATGGGCAGCGAGCTCACGAGGGGAGGTGTGTGCGTGTGCCCGCTCCTCCAGGAGTGGGCCAGCACCCAGCTGGCCAAGGAGCAAGCGCTGCTGAAGGGGCGCCGCAAGGCGCGCGAGGAGAGGGAGCTTGCGAAGAAGGGCAACAAGAAGAAGGACAAGAGGGAGGAGGAGGGGTGATGCTCCCCTCGGTCGCGCCTGGTTCAGGCGGCCAGCGCGACTCCCTGACAGAGACGCCTGTGGACCGTGATGCCTCTACCGGTCCGATCAACAGAGAGGTTTTTGATGCGCTGGGACACAGTGGTCGCCAACGTGACATTTTTCCGCTGCCCCCTCTGCGCCGGGGCCATGCCGGCGCAGCGGGCCGCCAGGATCTGTCTCTGGTCACTCGGCGGCGTGGTGCGGCTACCAAGCACATCCTTGATTGGGGCGACGAGTGTATCAACGCCCTGAACGACTTGTGCGGCCACCAGGACCGGCCTGCAGTACCCGCCAATGCCGGACAGCGACGCGCAGTGGACCACGTCGAGTCTCGAGTACGTGCGCTGGGCAAGCCCCCACCTGAGGCAGGTTTTCGCGAGGGAGCCCTACGTGAGCTCCTCGCCGGGGCGGGGATCTACCAGACGGGTGATCTCTCCTCACGACGGCCGTATGTCAAGGAGTCCATATCCTGGCCCTCGCCCGACCTGCAGCCAGTTCCACTGGCCGCCTGCCTTGGTGAGGCCGAATCTGAGTGGCTGGGCCGCTGGCAGAGCACCCTGCTCAGGCCAGATAGACCTACAGCTGCTGAACGTGCTGAGTTTTGCCCTCGCGGACCTTTTTTCGACCCCAGTCTCTTCAGTAAGCCTCTGCTCTACGCCGATTTTGTTGCCAAGCTGCTGGCTCGCGGCATGGCGGAGTTGAAGAGGGGCTGTGACGCGGCCACCGTCGGCTGCTTCTTCGTCGCGAAGAAGAACAATAAGCTGAGAGTGATATTTGACACGAGGTATGCCAACTTATTTTTCGGTCGACCGGCTCGGACTGCTTTGCCGACTGCGGCGGCTCTCGCTGCTTTCGAGAACCCTGGGCACGACACCTACCTGGCCTCGGGTGATATCGACAGCGCCTTCTACAGGCTACGACTACCTGACGGGCTGTCCTCGCACTTCAGATTGCCCGCCCTGGATGCCAGCCTGCTCGGGATCACGCACCTGGACGGGGTCCCGATCGCGCGAGGGGCGCGAGTGCAGCCCTGCGTGTGCGTCCTGCCGATGGGCTGGAACCATGCGCTGGCCCTCTGTCAGGGCGTGCTCCGACGCGCCATGGGCGCCGCGGGGTTCACCGTGGACCAGTGCGTCGAGGACGGGGAGGCGGGGGTCGTGGTCGACCGGGAGGGCGCCTTGGCGGTTGCCGGCTACGTCGACAACTACGCCGCCCTGGGACGCTCCCCGGCCCTCGTCGACGAGGCCGCCCTTGCCATCGCGCGCGTGTTGACGGAGAAGGGGCTTCTCACTCACGATGAGGAGCCTGCCGCGCGGGACGCCACCTTCGTAGGGCTAGAGCTGAAGAGAGGGCGTCATTTTTCGATCAAGGCCAGGAGCATTTGGAGACTTCGTTTCGGTTTGGACGCTTTGCTCAGGAGAGGTTTCTGTTCTGGAGACGCCCTCAGGGTCATCATGGGGCATTTCACCTGGGCGGGTTTGCTACGACGAGAAGTCCTCTCTTTGCTCAACGCCAGTTACCAGTTTGCCGAGCGGATCGGGTCTCGGCAGGCGCGTCTTTGGAGATCGGTGCGGCGCGAGCTCTGGCAAGCACGCTGTATCTTACCGCTGCTCAGCGTTGACGTCAGTGCACGGTGGTGGCCAGAGGTAGCCGCCTCTGATGCGTCTCTGTTCGGTCTCGGTGTCACTGTCCGAAAAGCTCCCACTTCACTGGTATCATCGATCGGCCGATGCAGCGAGAGGTGGCGCTTCCGGGTTGAGGGGGCCCAGCGGGCCCGCGAGCATGCTCTTCATCAGGCGGCTGTGGGCTCCACTGGTGGCCCCGACAAGGCCCTTGAGAACCTGCTGGTCGACAACCCCGTGGCCTTCGACGAGGTCCCCTTGGGCTTCTTGAAGTCTGACACTTGGAAGGTTGTTCACGCTTCGAAGGTTGCTGGGTCCACCGACGTCCTAGAGCTGGAGGGGGAGGCGCTCCTTATGGCTATTCGACACACGCTCAGGAACACTGGGGCTCTTGGGAAGAAGATCCTGTTTATAGTGGATAACTTACCACTGGCCCTAGCGGCCACGAAGGGGCGGGCGAATTCTCGATATCTCCGGCGTGTACTTCAGAAGATTGCTGCTCTATCGTTGACCACGGGATGTAAGGTAGTTGTGCGTTGGGTACCATCTGAACTCAATCCTGCAGACCATCCGTCTCGAGGCGATCACGGTTTTTTCACTACTCCGTACCACGTGCACTTTTTTCGGCCCCATGGGGCCGCGCCGGCGGCCAGCGGCGGCGCAGGCCGCCGTCGAGCGGGCACAGAACGCCCAGCTCGTGGTGGCCTCGACGGTGCAGACCTTCGGCCTCTCGGTCCTCGAGTCCGCGGCGATCCGCCCGAACGCGCAGAGGCAGTGCCGCGACCGCTTGGCGACGCTGGTCCTCTTCTGCCGGATGGACCGCCTGGACTGGGACAGCTGGGGGTGTGCCGTCACCGCGCTGCTGAATCACCAGTTCCTGGACGGCAAGTGCTCGGACCTGGGGGCGCAGCTGATCGCGGCGCTCTCACGCGTCTTCCCGGGCCTGGCCCGGCGCAGCGGGCTGTGCCTGCCGCGCGCGTGCCGAGCGGCCGGAGCCTGGAAGCGACGGGCGCCTGGGCGCTCGAGGCTGCCAATGCCAAAGACCGGGGCGGCGGCGATCGCGGGGGTGATGCTGTACCTCGGCCGTCGCCGGATGGCCATCTACACCATGCTGACCTTCATCTGCTATCTCAGGCCGCTGGAGGGGATCGCGCTGCTGGGGAGGTACCTGGTCGCCCCCGTGTTGGCGGCAGGATTGAGCTACGCGAGTTGGGGGCTGCTACTCCACGACTTCGAGCTCGGCCAGCCGTCCAAGACCGGCACATCGGACGACGCGGTGCTCATCGACCAGGACAGCTGGATCCTACCCGCGCTGGCAGGGCTCCAGGCGGCGACGCACGCGGACGCCTCGCTGTGTGACTTCGACGCGACGGAGTTCAGGCTGACCTTCAAGGCCGCCGCGGAGCTGCTGGGGCTGGGGCAGCTTGCTCCTCACCCCTACTCGCTTCGTCACGGCGGAGCGTCGGGCGACCTCCTGGCCGGTCGCCGAAGCCTGGAGCAAGTGCGAGCTCGGGGCCGATGGGTGTCGTCGTCGAGCCTTCGGCGGTACATCAAGGCCACTCGCCTACTTCGCGAGCTGCAGGAGGTGCACAGCGACGTCTTCCGCTTCGGGGACTTCGTGATGACCCAGTTCACAGCGCTCGTGGAGCACGGGCTGGCTGGCCCGCTTTTCGACCAGGTCCCGGCGACCAAGTCCCGGCGAGTGTGAGGGCCCTCCTGCTCTCGGGCCCGAGCGCCGGGGCCGCGTCCGCCGCCGGCCGCAAGCGAAGGCGGCCGGCAACGTGACCCACCTGGTCCACGGCGGGGACGTCGGCACCTACCTGGGCAAGAGGCTCGTAGCGAGCCTGGGCCGGGCCGTGCGACTCAAGTCGCTGCTGTTTCTGGAGCTCTTCGGGGGCTGTGGCCGCGTCGCGGCCAGCGCGCAGGCCATGGTCTACGCCGCGCTTAGCCTGGACATCAATGCCTCACCCTTGGAGAATCATCTGACGCCAGCCTTCCTCAACAGGATCCTGGGCTGGATCTCCAGCGGGGTCACCGCAGGCGTGTGGCTCGGCACGCCGTGCAGTGCCTGGACCCGCGCCCTCCGCGCCCCGCTGCGGACTGAGCAGTGCCCAGATGGCCGGCCCGACCTCTCGCCTGAACAGTGCAGCAAGCTTGACATTGGAAACAGGTCTTTCCTTTTTTCCCCTCATGTAATCCGTGCATGCCTGAGATACGGGATTGGCGTTATGATTGAGAACCCGCAGACCAGCCTCATGTGGTCCTCCCCTCACTTTCAGAAACTTCTGAATTTAAGGAGCAGCACTTCTGTAGTATGTCACATGTGTCAGTTTGGCGCGCCCTGGAGGGAAGCCGCCAGGGTGCAAGCCTGGGGCATCGGAGAGCTGTGGGAACTATCAAAAAATGCGGTGGCCCTCGCGGCCTCTGCAGCAGGGCGCTCAGACCCCACCTTGAGCTCAGCGGGCGAGCGCCGGGCGGGAAGCACTGGACCGCCATTGCTGCTGCCTGCCCGGCAGCCTTCGCCCGTGCCGCCGCTGCCATCCTCGTTCGCACTTGTGAGAATAAGCGCTCCCTGCCTCTCTCTCGCAGAATGGGGGTGTAGCCCTGAGATTTTTCGGCCTTCGGCCAAGTCCGCGCTCGGGTTCGGGATGCGAGGCTCGTCTTTCTGTCCAGTGGCTCGCCTTGAAGCCGCGAGTTCGCCGCCGTGCGCTGCTCCTCGCAAAAAGCATCATTCTCTTGGCGACGTGGGTCGGAAGAGGCCCTGCTGGGTGTATTCAGTACGTGAAGCAGGCACTGTAGGGAGCGTCGCCGTATGGCCACTGCCACTTGTGCTCAAGCTCTCCCTCCCTCCCTTTTTCTTCCCCATCGAGCTTGAGAGTGGCTTTTTCTGGCTGGATGCGAGGCTCGTCTTTCTGTCCAGTGGCTCGCCTTGAAGCCGCGAGTTCGCCGCCGTGCGCTGCTCCTCGCAAAAAGCATCATTCTCTTGGCGACGTGGGTCGGAAGAGGCCCTGCTAATATTTATGCTACTCCAAGTGTGTATGCGTGCTTGCATGTATGTATGTGTGTGCGAATGTATGCATGCACGTATGTGTGAGTGCGTGTGTGGGTGCATGAATACATGGACGCATGTATCGGTGAAGTTTCCAATTCTACTATCGAATATACACACACATCTATAATAATACGTTATATATGTATATTCATGCATCCTGTATTTCAGATGTATGTATACAGCCTCCTTTCTCTCCTTCATCACCCTCCCCACGTCCCCCTCCAGCTCCTTGCCGTCGCCGTCATCGTCCTCCTCTCCTCGTCGTCCTCGTCACCCTCCGCGTTCCTGGCGGGGTCCGGTCGCCAGGAGTGCGCGGACCAGGGGGACTGCAAGGACCAGTCGCCCTCCGCCCGCAGCGGACGGGCTGGCCGGTGCGGTGCACGTCCTCTCCAGGCGGGCGAGGGTGCTTCGAGTCGGCGGCGAGCCCGTTGGGGAAGTGAGAGTGGGTGGGCTTTCTCAGAGGGCGGCGGGGTTTCTCAGAAACCCCCGCGCCTTTTGAGAATTCCCGTGAGCTTTCTCTGGAGACAGGAACGGCTTCTCGGAAAGCCAGAGGGCTTCTGAAAAGTCCCGCCGCCTTCTGAGAAGGCCTGCCCCTTCTCTCACTTCCCCCCTCCTCCGCTCGCCGCCAAGGGAGGCCCGGAGGAGACGACACCCATCCCCAAATGGGGGCGGTAGGCTGGCCAGCGGGACCACGGTTTTCGCGGTGGGGGTTGGGACGAGCTATGGGGTAGAGCGAGAGGGGAGGAGACAAGCTAGGTGCGCTCTCGCCTCATCTGACATCCTATCCCTCCCTCCTTTCCCTTCCCGTGGCGCTGATTTCTCTCTGTCCGCGGACGCGTGTCATAGCCGATCTGCGACTCACACAGAAAGACCGCTTCGTGTTATACGCAATCAGAAAAAAGGAGTTGCGTGCACTGGAGGAGGAGGTGGCGGGTGAACAGGAGGATGAACCGGATGAAAAGGAGGAGGACGAACAGCAGCAGCATTAGGAATTAAAGCGGAAGGATTCGGATGGAAAGGAGGACCAGGGGAAGGTGGAGGAGGAAATGATGGATGCGATAACGATGAAGAAAGACTCATACTCAGAAAAGTGGCCCGCGTTGGGGCGAGAGGAACAGCAGCAGCAGGAATTGGAGTGGAAGGAGGAGCGGGAGGAACAGTATGGTCAGGGGAAGGCCGTGGAAGGGAAATGATGGGGGGACCAGAATGAAGCAACACTCGGATCCAGACAAGTGGCCCGCGCCGGAGCGAGAGCGCCGTTCTGAACGACGGGAGCAAAGCGCCGATCCGAAAATGAGGCCTCTGCTGCAGCGGGGACATTATTTTGAAACACCGAAAATATTTCGATTGTAGCAAGCATAAGAGGAATCAACTTTGGGAATCCTGGGCGTAAAGGAACAGCACGCGCAGGGGGCGGCAGATCTTCCGGACAACGTCAGGGGAGGAGGGACGCGAGGGAGGGACTCGCAGACTCGCCAGTTTCCATTGGCAAATATCAAAACGGAACCTGCAGGAAGCGGCACGCATAATTATATAGTTGTGCACCAATATTTCTACACACATATGTATATACACATGTATGTATGTATGTATGTATGCATGCATGCATGCATGCATGCATGGATGCATGTATGCATGCATGCATGTATATATGTATGTATGCATGCATGCATGCATGCATGTATGTATGTATGTATGTATGTATGTATGTATGTATGTATGTATGTATGTGTACATGTATACATGTATGCATGTGCGTATACGTATGCATATCTGCATGACAGTTTGCATATGTGTGTATAATTGTATGTATTTTGTATGCATGTAAATATGCATGCACGTATATCTGTACATATGTATGCATGCATGCATGCATGCACGCATGCATACAAATATGTGCATGTGTACATGTATGCTGTCATGTATTTTTTCCCAACCATCCTGTGGTGTTGGGTCCTCGTTTTGAAGAGAGAGCGCCCCACGTCCCACCTCCTCTCCTCCTCCTCCCCCTCCTCGCCCTCCTCCCTCCTTCTCCTCCTTGCCTCTGCTCTCGGCACACCCCTCACACGTTTCGTAGCCCCATAGGGAGCTCCACCGAAGGTCCCAGTGGCACAGCCCGCATGCGGTTCCTCCACCCAGGGCAGCGTTTCGTAGCCCCATAGGGAGCTCCACCGAAGGTCCCAGTGGCACAGCCCGCATGCGGTTCCCCCACCCAGGGCAGCGTTTCGTAGCCCCATAGGGAGCTCCACCGAAGGTCCCAGTGGCACAGCCCGCATGCGGTTCCCCCACCCAGGGCAGCGTTTCGTAGCCCCATAGGGAGCTCCACCGAAGGTCCCAGTGGCACAGCCCGCATGCGGTTCCCCCACCCAGGGCAGCAGCCCCATAGGTCCACCGAAGGTTGCACAGCCCGCACAGTATGCGGTTCCCCCACCCAGGGCAGCGTTTCGTGGCCCCATAGGGAGCTCCACCGAAGGCCCCAGTGGGGGTGTTCGCATGCGGTTCCCCCACCCAGGGCAGCGTTTCGTAGCCCCATAGGGAGCTCCACCGAAGGCCCCAGTGGGGGTGCCCGCATGCGGTTCCCCCACCCAGGGCAGCGTTTCGTGGCCCCATAGGGAGCTCCACCGAAGGTCCCAGTGGCACAGCCCGCATGCGGTTCCCCCACCCAGGGCAGCGTTTCGTAGCCCCATAGGGAGCTCCACCGAAGGTCCCAGTGGCACAGCCCGCATGCGGTTCCCCCACCCAGGGCAGCGTTTCGTGGCCCCATAGGGAGCTCCACCGAAGGTCCCAGTGGCACAGCCCGCATGCGGTTCCCCCACCCAGGGCAGCGTTTCCCCCTCCACCGAAGGTCCCAGTGGCGCAGTTCGCATGCGCCCCCCCCACCCAGGGCAGCGTTTCGTGGCCCCATAGGTAGCTCCCCCGAAGGTCCCAGTGGCGCAGTTCGCATGCGTCCCCCCCCACCCAGGGCAGCGTTTCGTGGCCCCATAGGGAGCTCCACCGAAGGTCCCAGTGGCGCAGTTCGCATGCGTCCTCCCCACACCCAGTACAGCGTTTCGTGCCCCCATAGAGAGCTCCACCGAAGGTCCCAGTGGCGCAGTTCGCATGCGTCCCCCCCGCACAGTACAGCGTTTCGTGGCCCCATACGGGGCTTCCCCGAATGCGATACCCACAACTGCATATGGTTGGGTCCTTCGCCAGGCTAATTTTATATTTGTATGCATGTATGTAGTTATGCGTGTACAGATGCATGCATGCATATATTTATGTATGTATGTACGGATAAACGCATATCTATAGATATGTATGCATGTATGTATGTATGCATATATGTATACATGCATGTATGCATGCATTCATGCATGTATGTGTGTGCATGCATGTGTGTACATGTTTGTATGTGGATGCATGCATCTATGTGTGTATGTAATGTATGTATATGTACGCGCGTGTGTACATACGTACGTATATATGTGCATGCATACAATCATGTATGTATGGACGTCTGTACGTGTGTATGTATGTACGTACGCACGTATGTCTGTATGCCTGTATGCCTGCCTGTCTGTCTGTCTGTCTGTCTGTCTGTCTGTCTTTATGTATGTCTTTATGCATGTATGTATGTATGTATGTATGTATGTATGTATGTATGTATGTATGTACGTATGTGTGCCTGTGTGTCTTTCTGTCTGTCTGTTTGTCTGTCCGTCCGTCTGTCTGTCTGTCTGTCTGTGTCTGTCTGTCTGACTGTCTGTCTGTCTGTCTGTCTGTCTGTCTGTCTGTCTGTCTGTCTGTCTGTCTGTCTGTCTCTCTGTCTGAATGTATGTATGTATGTGTGTCTTTCTGTCTGCTTGTCTGTCTGTCTGTCTGTCTGTCTGTCTGTCTGTATGCATGTATGTATGTTTGTATGTATGTATGTATGCCTGTGTTATGTATGTATGTGTACATCTGGACCCCCCTCGGCCTGGGGGCGTTCAGTCTGCAGCCATCCGGGACAACTTTTTGCTACCCTCCCAGTTTGTTTCCCAGAGGCGGCTCGGAGAGGCCAATGGGGTGCCAAAACGGGACAAGAGGGTTCTAATCGGCGCCCGCGACGGCCCAAGAGCACTCCAAGACGCCCAAGA